TGGTCTCCCCGGGAGAGGCGAAGACCTCATTTGGGACAAGGGTTTAGGGTTTAGGGTTTAGGGTTTAGGGTTTAGGGCAGGGGGTTTGGGATCGGGGGTTTAGGGCTTGTAGAGTTGGGCTTGGGCGGTGGCGGGTTTAGTTAGGGTTTGTGTCTGGCGTTGGTCTGAAGATTAGTTTAGTGTCCGCTGCTGTTCACGTAGGTTTATTTTAAAATTTTGGGTTTGAGATTAGGGTTTAGGGTTTAGGGTTTAGGGTTTAGGGTTTGGCGGGGCTGGGCGCTGGCGACCGCGGGTTCGCGCCGGCGTCGGCGGCGGCTGTCGAGAGTCTGCTGCTGCTGCGGAGTTGGGTTTTTGTCTTTGGAATTGGAGTTGAAGTTGCGTTGAAAATAAAAAGAAAATAAAAAAGAAATAAAAGAAAACAAAAAGGAAACAAAAGGGATTTGCTGCTGCTGCGGAGGCTGCTGGCAGCAGCTCGCCGCTCTGTCTGTCTGTCCACTCGAACTCGACAGACTCGAGCTCCCCGCAGCAGCAGCGCTCGCAGCAGCGCTCGCAGCAGCAGCAGCACAGCAGCAGCAGCAGCAAAGCAGCAGCAGCAGCAGCGAAAACGCTAAACCGCAATCCGTGCTGCTGCTGCTGCTGCTGCTGCTTGGGTTCTGCTGGACGTTCTTGGTCGTTGCATCGCTGACTACTGCTGCTGCTGCTGCTGCTGCTGCTGCTCCACTTCAGCGAATGCGTTTGCTGCTGCAGTTCCCCCCCTAAACCCGAATCTTCCCGCTGCAGCAGCAGCAGCTTCCTTTTTAAGCGAAGAAGGGTGGCCGGAAGCAGCAGCAAAGGGGCAGCGGCACTACGTGTGCAAGTACAGCTTCGACGGGGGCCCCTGCAGGACCCGCAGCAGCGGCCAGTACCCCTCGGGCCTCATCTGCCCCCCCGGGAACTGCTGCAGCAAAGTCCATTTGCTGCAGGGCCAGTCCGGGGAGTGGTGCACTCCGTCTTGGGCGCTGTGCAACGGGCTGCTGCAGCACGAGGGTTTTGGGTACGGCAGCTGCAGCTGCAGCAGCCACGGCCACCTGTGTCCGCCCCACAGCGCATGCAAGCAGCAGCAGCTGCCTCTTGGGGGGGTTTATTGCGAGTGCGAAGAAGGGTATTTAGGGGATGGCAGCAGCTGCTTCTTCGACAGCTGCAGCAGCAGCCCCTGCGCCCCGGGCTCCTGCAGCTTGGTGGGCGGGGAGGCCCGCTGCAGCTGCCCGGAGCACTACGAGGTCGTCAGCAGCAGCAGCAGCAGCAGCAGCAGCAGCAGCAGCAGCAGCGGCGGGGAGCGCTGCCAGGTGGTGGACGCATGCAGAGACAACCCCTGCGGGGATGCTGCAGCAGCAAAAAGCTGCACCCACGAGGGGCCCGGGAAGTACAGCTGCAGCTGCCAGCTGGGGTTCACTGCAGCAGAAGTGGGGGGTTTGCTGCGCTGCGAGAGCGTCTTCAGCTTCCTGACTTGTGCTGCTGCTGCAGCAGCGTGTGGGGTGGAGGGGGTGGCGGGGTGTACAGACACCGCAGCAGGGGTGCTTTGCGAGTGTCTTGAGGGGTTTGAACTCGTCAAAGAAACCACCAAGTTCAGCTGCAAAAGAAAAGACCCTTGTTTGCAAAACCCTTGCGGCGATGCTGCTGCTGCTGCTAGCTGCGTGGCCACTGCTGCTGCTTATGTTTGCAGCTGCAGGGAGGGGTATAGAGCTGTGGAGGGAGCAGCAGGGCCGTACTGTGCTGCTGAGCAGCAGCAAAACGCGTACCTACTTTACGCAGCTGCTGCTGCTGCTGCGCTGCTGCTGCTTGCTGCTGCTGTTGCATGCACTTACTCCCGCAAGGGGCCCGAACTCGCAGAAGACGAAATCCTCTTCCTCCAGGAAAATGCTGCGGATGTTTCTGCTGCCGCCTACTACGGGCAGGCCACAGCCTGGGGGTAGCTGCTGCTGCTGCTGCTGCTGCTGCTGCTGCTGCTGCTGCTGCTGCGATGGAGGAGGAGGAGGAGGAGGAGGAGGGTGCAGCGGAGAGCGAGGAGGCAGCAGCAGGCGAAACGGGAGCACAGCAGCGTGCGAGCGACAACAGCAGCAAACGGATGCTTACCAACTGCTGCTGCTGCTGCTGCTGCTGCTGCTGCTGCTGCTGCTGCTGCGGTGGTGGTGGGAGGTGTCAGGAAGGCACACGGGTGCCGCCGATGTGGGTGCTGCTGCGGCTCCGGCAGCTGCGGCTGCTTCTTCTTACTTTGTTGTGAAAGCTGCTGCTGCCGCTGCTGCTGCAGCTCTCGCTGCTGCTGCTGCTGCTGCTGCAGTGAGACCTGCTGCGCTGCTAACAATCGAGGCAGCAGCAGCAGCACCAGTAGCGGCAGTGACAGCAGGAGAAACTAATGCGGCAAGTTCGCTCCTGCAGCAGCAGCAGGTGCTGCCGCTGCTGCTGCTGCTGCTGCTGCTGCTGCTACTGCAGCAGCTGCTGCTGCAGCGAGAACGTGTTTGTACAGCCATTCTTCGCATGCAACAAAACAGGCAAAGAGACTTGTTGCTTTTAGGTTTGTTTTCAATTTGCGTCTTCTAGGCCACCACAGGGTTTAGGGTTTAGGGTTTAGGGTTTAGGGTTTAGGGTTTAGGGTTTAGGGTTTAGGGTTTAGAAGAGGGATCAAAAGTGCTCAACTTCCAGTCTTTCGGACCTAAGCCCGAAACTCTAAACCCTAATAATCCCAGAATTTGGATCCATATTACCCTAAACCCTAAACCCTAGTAACCCTAGCCTCCAAACCCTAAACCCTCGCCCTAAACCCTAAACCCTAAACCCTGTGGTGGCCTTTATATAATAAATATATAAAATAAAAAAGAAATAAAAAGAAATAAAAAAGAAATAAAAATAATAAAAAATAAATATAATCACAAATTTAAACTTCTTGTTTTTTGTCTCTTTACAGAAAGAAAGTTTCGTCCGGGTTTTCTGCGGGGCAAACCCCAAACCCTAAACCCTAAACCCTAAACCCTAAATCCTAAATCAAGTGCTGCAGAGGGGAGTTTTGAAGGCACTTGGAGGAGAGCAGATCTTTGCTTCCCTTTCTCTGCTGCTGCTGCAGCAGCAGCAGCAGCAGCAGCACGAAGTGCGGCCAAAGCTCCTGCACCTCCCGCTGCTCTCTGCTGCTCTCTGCTGCTGCTGCTGCTGCTGCTGCTGCTGTCGGTCAAAGTTCACCACGCCTGTCGGTCCATGGCCTCCCCGTGCTGCGTCTGCCGCTGCTGCTGCTGCTGCTGCTGCTGCTGCTGCTGCAGTCAGGCCCAGGCCGAAGCGGAAGGCATGACGTGCTGCTGCTGCAGCATCTGTGGGGCCGCTCCTGGAGTTCTTGCTGCTGCGAAGGTGTAGTCGGGGTCTCCGAGGGGTTCGCTGCTGCTGGCGCTGCTGCTGCTGCTGCGTTGCTTGACGAGCAGCAGCAGCAGCAGCAGCAGCCCGCCGCCGCCGAGGCCCAGCAGCACGAGCTGCTGCGTGCTGCTGCTGCTGTCGTCCAGCTGGCAGTAGGGAGAGCCAGTTTCTGTGGAAAGAGTATAGCCTTGCTGGCACTGGCAGGTGTAGCTGCTGCTGCTGCTGCTGGCAGCACAAGAGAGGACTGCAGCAGGAGGCCCGCAGGCGTTTGCTGCGCAGGGGTCTTGGAACTCGCACTTTTTGCCGCCAGCAGCAGCAGCAGCAGCAGCAGCAACAAGTTTGTAGCCGCTGCTGCAGGTGCAGCTGTAGCCCTCCGGGGTGTCTGTACAGCTGGCGACTCCCTCCGAGCCGCAGGGCAAGTCGCTGCACTTCAGCAGGCTGTCGATGGACACGCACTTGGGCCTGCTGCTGCTGCTGCTGCTGCTGCTGCTGCTGCTGCTGCTGCTGCTGCTGAGAGTGTATCCCGCGCGGCAGATGCACTCGTAGCTGTTGACTCCCACTGTCTTGCAGCCTGCTGCAGCAGCAGAGTCCCCGCAGGGGTTGTTGACGCACAAGTCCTTAAGAACGCACCTGCGCCCCACGCTGCTGCTGCTGCTGCTGCTGCTGCTGCTGCTGCTGCTGCTGCTGTTGCTGCTGACGTACCCCTCGGGGCAGCGGCAAAAAGGCTCAATGCCGTTCAACTCGCAGCTGCCGGGGCTGCAGTCCAGAGCCAAACAAGGATCGGAAATGCATTTGCTGCTGCTGCTGCTGCTGCTGTGGAAAATGTAGCTGCTGCTGCAGCTGCAGTAGGCCCCCCCGTAGGGCCCCGGGTCTTCGAAGCAGGAAGTGTGGGGCGGGCAGAGGGCCCCCTTGCTGCTGCAGCTGCAGCCGCCGTAGCTGTACTCCGTGTGGTAAATCAAGCTGCTGCTGCAGAGGGCCCAGCTGCTGCTGCAGTAGCTGCCGCAGCCCCCGGCCCCACAGGCCGTTTTGCTGCAGCATTCTTTCTCAAGACAATAAAGCTGCTGCGGCCAATCGCTTTGCTGCTGCCGGTTCCCGCAGGCGGCCCCGGAGGGGGCGTTTCTGCACAGGTACTGCCGCTCTGCGGGGCGAGCCCACGGGTCTTCTGCTGCTGCTGCTGCTGCTGCTGCTGCTGCTGCTGCTGCTGCTGCTGCTGCGGAGGCCGAGGCGGAGGAGAGGGATATCAGCGCTGTTGAGTGGGGAGAGGACTCAGGAGAGGAGTCCTCCTGCTGCTGCTGATGATGATGCGCGACGCGGAAATGCTGCTGCTGCTGCTGCTGCTGCTGCTGCTGCTGCTGGGAGTCTTGCTGCTGCTGCTGCTGCTCTGCATCCCGCTGCTCCTGCTGCTGGGCGTCCTGCTGCTGCTGCGGATGTTCGTTCTCCTGCTGCAGATGCTCTTCACTCCCCTGCTGCGAGTTCTGTTCATGGTGCTGCTGCCCCAACTCTTCCTCCTGCTGCTGCTGCTGCTGCTGCTGCTGCGGCCGCATGAAAAGGGAGTGACTTCGGAATTGAGAAGGCGCGGCCAGACCCGCAGCAGCAGGACCTTCTGCTGCTGCTGCTGCTGCTGCTGCTGCTGCTGTGGCGTCGGTGTCGGTGGGGTCAAGGGAGTAGCTTTTCTTCTTGTGTGGCAGCGCAGCAGCCTGCTGCAGCAGCAGCAGCAGCAGCAGCAGCGGCAGCAACGCCCACGAGAAGCGCCTGAGCTTCAAACTCGCTGTTGTTGTTGCTGCTTCTGTCGCTGCTGCTGCTGCTGCTGCTGCTGCTGGAACAGCAGACTCGATCCCCCTGTGATTTCCCATGGCAGGGGAAAGCCTCGGGCTCAAAGCCTCAACCGCAAACCCTAAACCCTAAACCCTAAACCCTTAATCACAAGGGCAAGAAGAAGGCCGATTATCTAAAACTTAAACCCCAAACCCTAAACCCTAAACCCTAATCCCTCGACTGCAGCACTCCTCCACCGACTCGAGACCATTGACTGCTGCTGCAGAGCTTCGGGTGTACCGACGGATCTCAAGAATAAAAAATAAGAATAAAAACCAAAGCAGAAATAAAAAATAAACATAAATACACAAAGAAGAACGAAACCCTAGACCCTAAACCCTAAACCCTAAACCCTAGGCCGGGAACCACTACTAGCCACGGGCGCCGCCGACCCCAAACACCAAACCCTAAACCCTAAACCCTAAACCCTAAGCCCCAAACCCTGCCTTCTCAATCTCCTTTTGATAACACGCATTGTCTACACAACCCGAATTCCTAGCAAAACCCTTTTTTAGGGTTTGAAGTTCCCAAAACTTTCACTGAAAACCTCGGTTCCCCCAGTCGGCAGCGCCCGAACGCTAAACCCTAGGCCCTAAACCCTAAACCCTAAAACCTAGAAGCTAAACCCCAAACCCTAGAGGCTAAACCCTAAACCCTAGACACTAAACCCTGCACACATCAGCCTGGATCCCAGTTAAAACCTTCAGGAGCACTTACAGCAGCAATTAGCAGCAGCAGCAGCAGCAGCAGCAGCAGCAGCAGCAGCACAAACAACAACAAAAAAAGCCCGACTACAACAAACGAAGTTGTGCTGCAGCAGAAACCAGAAAATAAAGTCAGCAGCAGCAACAACAACAAACTTGGCCCTTCCTTGCCCTCTCGTCTCTGCTGCAATGCCAAACAGCAGCAGCAGCAGCAGCAGCAGTAGCAGCAGTAGCAGCAGCAGCAGCAGCACGTGTCTGAAGCAGCAGCACAATGCTAGCGGGGCCTTCTGTGGCTCCCCTAACCCTCGAATTCCCCCTATCCCCTACTTAGCTTAGCAGCTAGCTAGCTAGCTAGCTAGCTAGCTAGCTAGCTAGCCTAGCGAGCGAGCTAGCTAGCTAGCTAGCTAGCTAGCCTAGCGAGCTAGCTAGCCAGCTAGCTAGCTAGCTAGCTAGCTAGACGGCCAGCTGGCTATCTAGCTAGCTAGCCGCTTCATTTGCGGCTGTGCGCGCCCAGCTAGCTACTTGCCCCCAGTTTAGCTAGCTAGTTAGGCGAGTAGCTAGCTACGCGGCTAGCTAGCTAGCTAGCCAGCTGTGCAAGCAGTAGCTGGCTAGCTAGCTAGCTAGGCAGACAGTCAGCTAGCTAAACAGCTCTACAAGCAGGCAGTAGCTAACTAGTTAGCTAGCTGCCTAACTGGAGAGTTAGCTAGCTAACCAGCTAGCTAGCTGGAGAGTTAGCTAGCTAACCAGCTAGCTAGCTAACCGGCTAGCTAGCTAACCAGCTAGCTAGCTAACCAGCTAGCTAGCCAACTAGCCAGCTAGCTAAACAGCTAGCTAACTAACCAGCGAGCTAGCTAACCAACTAGCTAGCTAACCAGCTAGCTAGCCAACTAGCTAGCTAGCTGGCTAGCTAACTAGCTAGCTAGCCCTTAGCACGCAGAATGGGGGCCGTTGCTGCGTCCCGCCGAAACCAAAAAGGAGCAGCAGCAGCAGAAGCAGCAGCAGCAGTAAGAGCTCTTGCTGCAGCAGCAGCAGCAGCAGGACGACGAGCTCCTGTTTGCTCGTTGCAGCAACACTCTTGTTTGCTTGCTGCAGCAGCAGCAGCAGCAAGAGCTCTTGTTCGCTTGCTGCAGCAGCAGCAGCGGCAGCAGCAGCAGCGGCAGCAGCAGCAGCAGCAGCAGCAAGAGCTCTGACTTGTTTGTTTTTGGCTGTGTCTGCTTCCCCTTTCGCAGCAGCAGCAAAGTTTCCTTAACATGCTAAGCAATGCTGCTGCTGCTGCTGCTGACTCTGCTGCTGCTGCTGACTCTGCTGCTGTAGCTGCTGCAGCTGCTCATTCTACCTCTGCTGCTGCTGCTGCTGCAGCGGCTGCCGCTGCTGCTGCTTCTGCTGCTGAGTGCATAGCAGCAATTCCTGCACTTTGCTTGTGAGGCCTGAGGGTTTGACTTTAAATTTGGAATTTGAATCCTAAACCCTAAACCCTAAACCCTAAACCCTAAACCCTAAACCCTAAACACCAGAATTTGAAGTTCCCCGATGGTCTCTTGAATATGGAGGTGGCCTTGACGCCAAACCCTGGTCCCCAGCCCCTAAACCCTAAACCCTAAACCCT